GGGCCCAGGGGGACACACGGGGAGGAGAGGGAAAGACCCCAGGAACAGAGAGATACAATTGGGAGAGACAGGGGTGGGAAGATGAACAGGGAGACAAGATGTAGAAAGAAGTACAGAGATTTTAAAAGATAGAACGAGGGACACAGAGACAGGGAGAGACAGAGACAGGGAGAGACAGAGTAGTAGAGACACAGAGACAGGGGGAGACACAGCGAGAGAGGTTGAGGGGACCAGACAGGGAGAGGTGCGTGTAGGGAAACAAATTCAGACGTAGAAAGAGATGGGGAGAATGGGAATATGAGAGACACAAGGGCGCGGAGCAAAGGTGGGTGATGGGGATGGGTAGGCACAGAGGTAGGAAGAGAAATAAGACAAGTCAGAGATGACCCAACCGTGAGATGGAAAGGAGAGACCCACAGACAGCGGATCAGGGTAGAAGCAGAGAGAGACCCAGGGAGATTGGAGAGATGGCCAGGGAGAGAGAGAGACAGGGACGGAAAACCAGAGACAAGGACAGTGACAGGAATGGGAGAGACAGAGGGCGCGAATGACAGAGACAGAGCGATGGAGGCGGGAGAGATAAGAGAGACCAGAAAGTTAGGGAGGAAGATGGGAAGAAACCCAGGCCAACAGACCCCACAGCCGCCACGAGAGAGACACACACACACACAAGACGGGGAGCCGAGATGGAGGGAGGCCCGCAGAGAGCCGATGGCAGACACCGGCAGACACCGGAAGAGGAAGACAGAAATAGCCAAGCGAGGCAGAGATGGAGACCCCCACCAGGGAGATGGCCAGCACAGACATGAAAGGAGGCCGGGAAGGCGGGTAGCAGGAGGGTGCGAAAATCAAAGGAGGGAAAAGTGGGGGAGAAAATGAGAAAGGGAGAGAAAAAAAAAAAAAAGGTGAGGTGTGGAGGAAGAGAGAAAGAAGGAATTAGTGGGGCATCCTGAGGAGAGCAATTACCCCCCCGACCCCCAGCCCCGCTCCCCATCATACCCTGTGTCCTACTTTTGTCCTGTCCCTGCCATTACCACCTCCATTGTCAAGTGAAAGTGAGAGAGGGAGTTGAGGCCCAGGCTGGGCTGCGGGGTTAGGGGCCACAGCTGTGGAGAGCTGGTGGGGGGTGCCGTCCCTGGCTCCCAGCCTGGCGCAAATTAGTAAATTAGAGGAAATAGGGTGCCTCCTCCTGTGCCCGCTACCCCCAGCCCCCTGTTGATATTGACTGCCTGGGGTAGGAGGGTCTGAGTGACGAGAGATTGGGGACCCGGATTCCCAGGTTTGAAGGAGGAAGGAGCTAGGGGCTGAGACCCCTGAGGCTGAAAGAAGAGTGGCTTGGGGACCGGCTACCGGGGTCAGAGGGAAGCAGCAAGGGGAATGGGGTGGGGGTGGAGCTAGCCTCTGGGTCCGAGGAAGGAGGGGCTAGGGGGTTCGGAACCTGAAGTCTTGGTTCCCGCAGAGGGACTGGAGCTGGACCCAGGGGGTTCCTGAGAGGAGTGGTGGTCCAGACAGGGCAGGGTTCTCTTTAGCTGTCAATCTACGGCCTGTCCAGTTGCCATGGTAGCACAGGCCCGGTCCGCTGACAAACAGGCAGGGAGGGGGAAAGGCCCACCCCTCTTGGTGCCCACAGGCCTCGCCCCCATCCCCTGGGTCACTGTCTCCCCAGGGATGGGGGTAGGGGACCCTAACAGCCTGCCCCTCCTCCCCGCTGCCCTTCCCCAAGCAGCTGGCTCAATCAGTATTCAGAATCAGCCCCTTCCACCCCAAAATAACCCACAGCTGTGGCCTGGCCCCCCTGGGTTAACACTCACTCGCCCCGCCCTTCCCAGTGGCTGCTCACCCCTCGGGCCCACTCAGCCGGTGGCAGACCCACCCCTGCCCGGCCTCTGCCCTTGGGGCCCTAACCCTGCTCCCTGCTGTGGCCCAAGGGCTGGGGAGCAGGGGCAGCCACCTTTCCCGGCCAATACCCTGAAAGGATCTTCAGTTCCCACTTCCATCCTTGGGGGGCTCGAGTCCAGACCCTCCCCCACCCCCTACCCTGTCCGGGACTCAGAACACAGACCCCCCCCCCCCACCTGTCCCTCCTCAGATCCAAGCCCTATCCTCCAACTTCTCCCCAAAAAAGACCCGGGAGTTCCGACTCTCCTCTCTGGGCCTCTCCACCTCCAAGACCAGGAGTCCCAGCCTCTGGGCCTCTGCCCCCCAGGCATATAGGAATCCGGACCCCAGCAGCCTGCCTCCTCCTTCAGACTCGGGGATCCTGGACTCTCAGACCCAAGGGTATTGACCTCCCCCACACCCTCTCTTCCCTTAAGGACCCCTGTCATTCTCAGCCCCATCAGTCCTAGTATCCCAGGCACACCCCAGCTCCAGCCTCCCTGGGTGGTCTCCCCACACAGTCCCAGTCCGTTCCCTAGCAGGGGAGGCGGGTGCCAGAGATTTCTGGGGTGTCCTTGTCCCCACCGCTGGCTCCCCTATCCACCACCACAGAAGACACGAGAGGCCACTTTGATCAACAGCCAGCCCCCCCTCATGCTGCAGCCGGCGTCCTACCCGCCCGCGGCTCCCCACCCCACCCCACCCCCGGTCCTCTCCCCACCCTAATCCTGGTGCTTGGAAGAGGCTGGAAGGGTATTCCAGAACCTTGGGGAAGGGGAGGCGGTTTGGGATGTGGGGTGGGTGCTGGGGGCCTGGATGCCCTCAAGGTCCTTGGCTGGCGGGGTATTAATAGCAGGCTCATAGCTCCGAAAAAGGAGGGGAGAGTGAGGAGAGAGAACGAAGGGGGGCTGGCCAGTGACAGGGAAGCTGT